CTGCTCACCTGTCCACCACCCTCACCTGTCTACGGCTGCCCATCTTTCTTCACCCATCACCAGTTTGCTTTCCTCATAGCATTTACCACAGACCAACATCTTATTTAATTGTGTGTTTGTCTTTATTGGGTCTCCCTCTGTGGGAATGTATGTCCCTTAATGGGAGCAGGAACTGTGTCTTTTTTCACACTCAGATCTTCACAGATTAGAAAACTAAATGCCTAATATGTTCCTGACTCCCTCTACTTTACCAACTTATTTCCAAATATTTAGCGAATTCCAATCATATATGAAGTTCTGTGTCTGTACGCCCAGGAAGCAAAGCAGCCAGACTGTGGAGGTAAAGCGAGCTAAGCGGCCACAAGCTGCATCCTCAGCCCCTGGGACTCACGGGCGCAAGTAAGTGGCAGTGTCTCTGGCAGGAGACCGTTTCATGTAGGAAGTGAGTCACGCCGGCTCATGCGCGTGCACGCACACACGCACACAAGATGGAAATCAAGTTTATGTAGCCTACACTCTGGTTCAGTTTTCTTTGTTAATAAAGCTTATAGTCTAGCATTGACTGATAACGTTGATGGAATTTGCTATAAGGGATCAACATGAATTTTACATTCTGTTTGTGTTCTCTCTACCATCTTAAAACTAAATAGTGGCAGGTGGAAATGTTCCAGTGACACCCCTTCTAGAGTGATAAATAGATTCACGTTGTATTTCATTAATGGTCAAATTTATAGATCGCATAAAATAAAAAATCCGTGAATGGTAAGTTTTACATTAGAAAGTTGGTGACGTCCTCCTGTCTGGTGCTGAGTTGGTGGTTTTCTGGGTGTATGACCATATCTGTTGTGATCTTGCTTCTTGCAAAGTGCATATTATAGCAGAGTGTGCACATTGGACATTTAATCAATTAATTTTTAAAAAGATTTTATTTATGTATTTGTGAGAGCATGAGTGGGGAGGGGCAGAGGGTGAGGGAGAAGCAGACTCCTGCTGAGCAGGGAGCCCAACGCGAGACTCGATCCCAGGACCCTGGGATCATGACCTGAGCTGAAGGCAGACACTTCACTGACCCAGCCACCCAGGTGCTCCCCCGAAGGATATTTTTGATGGGTATCTGCATTAGTAGATTTTCAGGATTCGGGGCTGATGGTTCCTTTCTTCCAGCACTTGAAGAAAGTTGTGTGATTTCCTCGTGGCCTCTGTGGTTTCTGATCGGAAATCCTTTGTCTTTTGGATTGTGTTTCCCTCGTAGGTAAGGTGTCATTTTTCTCTAGCTGCTGTCAAGATATTTTCTTTGCATTTAGTTTTCAGAAGTTTGCCTGTGTGTCTTAGAGGAGACTGGGTTTACCCTGTTTCCTCAGCTCTGTCAATCTTTAGGTTTCTATCTCTCGCCAAAGTTGAGTTTTCAGCCATCATGTTTCTGAATGCCCTTTCAGCCCTGCCTTCCTTGTCTCGCCTTCTGGGACTCTGATGATATGAATGTTAGATCTTTTGTTACAGTCCCACACTCCCTGAGGCTCTGCCCATATTTTTTTTCAGACTGTTTTCTCTCTATTGTTGGAATTGGGTGATTTCTGTTCTCCTAGTTTATGGGTTTTTCCCTCTGCCCCTCATCCTTCTATTTAGTGCATCTGCTTGAGCTGCTTATTTTGGTTATTGTATTTTTCAGTTATAATATTTCCATTTGGTTCTTTTTGTATTTGTTTGCTGAGACTTTCTGTTTCTTTGCTAAGCCTTCTGGTTTTTCATTTCTTTCAAGTGTGTTCATAATTGTTCACTGAGGCAGTTTCAGTAAGCCTGCCGTACAGTCTTTGGCAGGTAATGCTAAATCTTCCAGCCTTGGTGTTAGTGGCTACAGATTGAGATCTTCCCGGTTTTGATATGACAGCTGATTTTCTGTTGAAGCCTGAACATTTTAGTATTCTATTACAAGCATCTGGATCTCATTTAAGCCTTGTGTTTTACAGCTTTTTCTGACACTGCTCTGCCAAGGTGTGTGTGTGTGGGGGGGTCTCTGTTACTAACATGGGGATGGAAATCCAGGTTCCCCCCAAGATTTCTGCTGACATCAGAGGGAAGGGATCTTGTCCATATGCTGGGCAGGGTGGCTGGTGGGAGTTTGAACTCCCCATGTGGTCTCTATGGGGGTCTGACATGGGGGGTGGGCATACCACCCACTCCCTACCTGACTGCTCCCCTGACCCTGGCAAGGTCAGGGGAGGTCAGGGGCCTCATTCCAGCTTTACAAGAGAGGATGCCCAGGGTTCCCCTTGGCCTTTGTTAGCATGGGTATGGTTGGGCTAGGTTTTTTTTGGTGGTGTTTGATGGGAGGAGAGCTGTTATTGTCTAAAATGTGCTAACTCAATCCCTTCCTGGCCCTCCGGCTGGGGAGAGGCGACCTCAGTCAGGGCTTCTCCTGCACTTGGTGCTCCCAGGTTGCTGCCTCAGCTCCAGTGTGAGGTGCACAGGCCAGAGGACAGCCCAGGGCACCCCGCACGTGTGGTTCCTCGGATTCGCTGGGAGCACAGCCACCTGTCTCCTGCCCTCCCTTCAGAGCCTTCTGTGCATACCATCTCCAGGGTTTTAGTTGTGCCTGGAGGGCAGGGCAGGGGAAAGTACATCTTCTCCGTCTTCCTGGAAGCAGGTCCTCTCTTCCCGGGGTTTTGGCTCCTCCAGTATGCCTTGGAGAGGCGTTCAGAGAGGACGTCTAAGCCCCAGTGTATGCACTGCTTTGGTTTTTATATCCAAGTGCCCGGTTTCTGCCTGCTCCCAGGAAAGCTTAGAAGCCAGTCTAGGGGTTCAGGGTCCCCCTCAGATTGCCTGTATATAACACTTGTATCAGTTGGCCAACTGTTGTGACGGAGTCCTCCTCACAGACCCCAGAATTGACATAGCTCAGACTCTTCTGCTCTTCAGATAAAAAAATATTATTGATGCTTTGTTATTTTAAATTTTACAGATGAAAGTTTTTTTATAGGCACTTCCTTTTATGCTCTTGATTTTTTTGTTTCCTGGTAGATATTAAGACCACCCTTTTGGGAATGGCATGTTTAAACTATGCTTATTCTCTAAAATCCACAGTGCTAGGATTATGCTAATATCGCAACTGTGCTTTCAATTGAGAATACTCCTGGGAATGAACCAATGGTTAACAGCCGCATAAGCATACACTTCATATGGGTGGTTTTTTAGTTGCTTTTGGCAAATGGAAGATTCTTGCTTATTACTAAGTACATTTAATCCTAAAGTAAGGGTAACAGTGACTGTGGGGTGGGTCTCCCTGCAGTGACCCATTCTCTAAATGCTATATTCATGCAGAGCAGCTTAGAACGAGTTGCCATAGGAGGCCAGCCCATTTGGTGAATTTCCCCATCAGCTTCTCTTTTGGGTAATGCCTTAGAGACTTCTGAGATTTAGAAATGTTCCAACTGTTTGAATCTTGCCATTTGTAAGTGTAAAAAAAAAAATGTTAGATTTGCATTTGAAAAAAGAATTCAAGTGTGTTCATGAAGGCAGCTTATATCTGCTGAGCCCTTCTTTTTATTCCCCAGAACATGTGGTTCTCAGCAAGTTCTGGACCTCCCTGTACCACACTCACACACACACATAAACAGGCACAGAGCCGTCCTGATTTGAAGATTTTGGTAATGTGTTTTTGAACAGGGCATAAAAATATATCTCTGTAATTACATGATATTTAGTGATTAGATAATTATGGATAATTGCATGGGGTAGTTCTAAGTGCTAAAGTGTTACCATAAGATCTAAAATGTACAAATTGCATAATAATTATTCTTGGGAGTTATTTGGTAATTCTGAGCATAATTATCATGTGATCTGCAGTGCATGTAATTAATGCATAATCACATGGATTTTGCCTTCATAACTACTTCGCTCTTGTTATAAAGCTCTTTGTCATAACATTTGAGTATAAATATAATGTAATTGGCTCCCAGATACAGCACATTAAGCCCCGTGATAATTGCCTTCACAGTAACAATACCCTTATTTCATTACCACTGTGTGGCTCTTCGGCAGGATGGAGTCAGAACAAATTGCCCGAGATGTGGCGGTGAGCAGGCAGGCTAGCGGCCAAGTGGTGGGTAAATGTGCACACATCTGGGTCAAGAAAGTCTTTGCTGTGACCAGAACTTTTCCGTGAGAAAGTCTGAGTCTTTGACGGGGACAGATCCCTCTTCCAAGTGAAATGTGCACCTGGCGACAGCTCATTGCATCCAGCCATGGCACCCCTGGGCCTCGTGCTTCTCATCCGGGAAAGCGTCCGTCCTGTTTCTGGTCTAGTGGTCTCAGAAGACAGGGACTTCTATAAGGAGAAGACCTTATTAATAAACCGCAGTGAGAGGGAGCCATGGGTTGTCGATGGCTTTGAGGGCAAACTTTGAAATGGTAGCAGTTTATCCTGAGACTGAAACAAGACCTTTGGCTCAACTTCTGGGTTGATAATGCACTTTTCAACTTTCCCCAGGCTTCACGTGGCAGGACGACTACACCCAGCACGTGATGGCCCAGGAACTCTCAACCCTTCCCCACACCTACCCGCAGCATCTGGAAGCTTCCGACACAGCCAGGTAAGCAGACTGCTCTCTGGTCACAGCCGGCATCCATCCAGCTTGTTCTTGTTTGAACGTATTGTGTTTGTGGCGTAGAGGGTCCGGAGGGTGGACAAGTCCTTCTCTACCGTGTCCTAGCCCAGGGGTGCAAGACGCGTTGGCGTGACCCTCGAGCCAGGTGCCGTCCTCATGACAGACATCCCAGTGGCCCTTCCCCTGCCTTTCCCAAGACCTTTGGAAAGCCCTGCATCTTCAGAACCTTGGCTGAAAGCAGAAAAGTCAAGATTTCTCATTTCCCAGTAAGAATTTATGTTCACGTTAGTACAAAAAGCAGAATTCAGTCGTGAAAGTTTTCCTGTTGCCAGAAATAGCAACCTCTACTGAGCAGTGACATCTCATTTCATCCTCACTACACGCACTGAGGGGTTCCTAAAGCCTGTCCTGTTCTTGGAGGGAAGGGAACTGAAACGCGGGCAAGTTGGAACTCAGTCCAAAGACAGACCACAGGGAGCCACTTAGGTTTGTCTCATTCTTCAGCCATGGTGCCAGATTCTTCAAGTTTATAGAATGTGAAAAGGGCCTTCCCCAAAGGCTTAGGGAAGTTTGGGAGGCCCATTCTTTCCCCCCTAAGAGAGAGACTATTCTGAAACTTTAGATAGAAAAATCTCAGTGACACAAAAACATGGGTATCTGCCTTAAGCTGGTGTTCCTCTAATAAGTGAAGCGGCTAAGCCACCAAGAATTTCATTTCCAAATCCAGTGAGAGTGAGTGAGTGAACACACCCAAGGGACTTGGACACACTGAAAACACAATTCGCCATGTTAGCTCTCTCACCGGCTGGACTATGAGTTTCTTGAGGGTAGGAAACATGTCCTTCTACTTCTTGTGCCTAGCTTTTCTACCTTAAATATAAAGGTTCTATACTGAAACAAAACACCACCTCTTTTCATGTGGACAAAGATCATGCATAGGAAATTCATATGGAAAATTCCAATCTCAAATATGAATCTTATCAAAGATGATACCTTATCTTTGTTTTTTTTAATAAGGTGTATCCTTTCTACACCTCCTTTGTCAGAAAACATGCCATTATAGTCTGTGAGTGTGTGTAAGCCTTCTCTGCAAGAAAAAACAACCAAAAACCAAAGCCAGGCTATCTCGGATTCCCGTTTTTGTTTTGGATGATTGCCTACTCTGCACTGGTCTTTACAGCTGGACATTTCAGTGCCGTCCAGTGCTTCTTCCTTCCGAGTGAAGATTTAACTTGACTAACCATGAAGCGCACTATCCCAGATAACCTTGAACTCCACCGTGAGCACAGACTAACTCCTTGTACGGCCGGGGTGAGAAAGACCAGAGCATGGTATCACCCAAAGACCAGCATTTGCACACCAGGTGAGGCTGCTGAACAGACCCCTGGATGACTGCCTTCCTCCCAGCATCAATATTGTCATTTTTTAAGATTGCCAGTTCTATTATGAAAGATGATACCTTATCTTTGTTTTTTTTAATAAGTGAGATTAAAAGTTTAAAAAGATTCATATTTGAGATTGGAATTTTCCATATGAATTTCCTATGCATGATCTTTGTCCACATGAAAAGTATTTTTTGTATTTTTCTGTTTTGTTTCAGTATAGAACCTTTATATTTAAGGCTAGTAACTTTTCATTTATCCTATTTTGTAGAAATATTTTTTCAGTCTGTACCATGGATGACACTCGGTACAGTTGCTAATGAAAGCAGAGTTCTGTTAGCCGTCTCTAGGCTGGATTTTTAATTTCTGTCTTTGACAGGGTTGAACCTAAGTAAACCACTCATCCCAGCTCTAAAAGCAGAGCCCCATTTCGGAAAGCCTTGATGGGATATTCCCAGATTCCTGTGCCTCCTACTCCTGGCTCTGGCCTCTGAGGGATGGGAGTTCCTGGTCTGCACAAGTAGGTCCCCGTGTCCTCAGGCTGAGGCTGGGGTTCTCCAGTGGGATTCACCCCAGCTTAGAGGGCAGAGCGGATCAGGATGGCAGTGGGACCTGGGCAGAGTGTCTGATCCCATGACCCCCTCCCTGCTCCCTCCTATTGATCTGGTGGTTCTCCACGGTTATCCCTGTCGCTCCTCTCAGTCCTGTGTGCCTCTGTAAATAGCGTCCTGTTCAAGTACTCAGACCTCCTACTTCCGCATGTTTCCTGTTGGCACTCTGCCTGGTGGACCATCTCAGCATCCAGGACAGGGGTACATGGCCCTGGTGTCGTCCTGGCTTTGTCCCTCCCTGAGGCTGGGGTCACGGTTAGACTGTCATCAGGGTATGGACAGTGGTTTTCCCTCTTTTCACAAAATTTCTGCAAAACTTTCTTTAGCACTGAAATTATCTATTTCCTGGTATACATATTTTTTATAATCTTCCTTTGAGGTATATCTCCTAGCACTTTCATTGTCTTCCAAGACTATTGGTCAAATGTGCTCACAGTTTTTATTGTGTGAAATTGAGGCATTTATATTTTTACAGAGGACGGTCATCCTTTTCATAAGGATTTCCAAGTTTGTTAACGTGGTGTGATGTTTAGAATTGTATTATAATTTAAAAAAACCGTTCAATGTACATATACTTGTTAGTCTTGTCATTTTTAATGTATTTATTTATTTTTAAATGAGGCACTCTTCACTTTTTTTTAAGTTTCAGAGGTAGAATTCAGTGATTCATCAGTTGCATAAAACACCCAGTGTTCATTACATCAAGTGCCCTCCTTAATGTCCATCACCCAGCTCCCCTCCAGCAACCCTCAGTTTGTGCCCTATTTTTAACATGATTTTTAAAATTAATTATCTTTGGATTTTCTTATTTCTACTATCCTTAGACCTATTGTTTTTTCTTCCTTTTTTAGACCTATTTTTAAAATATTTTATTTGTTATATTGAGAGAGAGAGAGAGCATGAGCAGGGAGAGAGGCAGAGGGAGAGGGAGAAGCAGGCTCCCCGCTAAGCAGGGAGCCCGATGCGGAACTCGATCTCCAGACCCTGAGATCATGACCTGAGCCGAAGTCAGATGCTTAACCCACTGAGCCACCCAGGTGCCCTAGACCTATTTTTTTAAAAAAACTTCTTGAATGGAATGTTTTGTTCATGTTTTTATTCATTCATTTTTTAAAAGTAATGAAGTTACACAAGTCTGTGCATTAGATTTTGAGCATAGATTTGGCACCATCCTGTGATTGACTGGCTGATATCAGTCAGAAATGTTCTATATTTTCTGTAATTGTAATTTTATACCTTTTGGAAACAGTAAGGGTCCAGTTTTTCATATATGTGTTGTTTTTAAACTTTAAATTGCTGCCTAGTTTTATTTCATTTTAGTCAGACGTGACCTGTTCAGTTTTTACCTTCTGGAAATTTTGAGGTTTTTCTCTGTGGCCTTTTTTGTATGGTCTTGTTACTGATATTCAATGGATACTTTAAAAAGATATTGTATCCACTATTTGCAGGGTACAGATTTTTATACATAGTTTATAATTTTATATGGTTTGTAATATGTCCTTAATTACATTTTGACTTATTGAAATTTCTTAGAAACTGTTTCTGTAAATTTTCCTTTTGTCATTAATATATTTTGCCTTAAACATTTTGAGGCTCTGACATCGGGCACATAAGAGTTGCTGGGTCACATCTTTCTTGGTGATTCCTATACCCACGGTCACTTCCAAAGGGTGCCTTGGTTGCCTTTAATGCTTTTGTCTTGGATTCCATTTTTCTAAAATTAGTACTGCCATTCCTGTGTTCTCTCTTTTTATTTGCTGCCTAATGAATCTGGCCGTCCTTTGAAATTTCACCCCTTGGACTGTCTCTATTTCACATGCAGCTTTCCTGAGCAATGTTAGGTGGCACTTTTTATGGCCGGACATCTCAGTGAGGCCCTGGTGTCTCTGCCCACTTCCTTTTCCTCTGTGGAGTGTGACTGGTTTGCTTTTGTTGTCTTTAGTGTTTGTAACTCTGATTTTACATTCACTTTGTAACCATCACCTTTTGGGTGTGCAGATATTCTTAGAGTGCAGGTTTATGTCATTGTGAAGAAGTCGGTGTCCTCCGATCGCCCCATTTGAGATAAGGACATTATTACGCTTCTGCCTTCTTTCCCCCGGCGCCTCCCCAGATGCAGCTTCTGGCCTGGAGACTGCTGGCACCTGGCATGGGCCTTTCAGGAGGTTGACATTTGGTCAATATTTGTTGAATCAGTGAAGGATGCTTTTGAATTGTTATATGGGCAGCTACACCAACCAAGAATCCTTCCTCGCTTTCTTCACTCCACAGGGCAGATGCAGTCTACATATGCTCTATTGAGCGTTCTGTACTTGACCGATTCGTAAGTATCCACAATTGGCCAGAGTGACACTTGGCACGCTTCGTACAAGACAGCTGACCTTTAGAGAGATTAACTTACCCAGATGAGGTTAGAATCGTCTTCAGGATGCCCAGCCCTGCTCTTGTCCTGACCAGAGTAAGCACTGCGTGTGAAAGCCAGAACGTGGGCACAGCAGTGCTGCAGATCCTCCAAGTAAGGAACAGAGGGGAAGCGGGAGGGGCCCCTGAGAACTGAAGCCTGCCCTTTGTTGACGCTCTGAGAGCAGGAGGCCAGCCGTGTGTCCGGCACTCCGGTGAGTTCACATGGGCTTGTGCCCAGGAGCATCGTGTCAGGTGGCTTTGAAGGGTGTATGTGCAGAGCAAACTGTTGTTACGTACGGTTACCGTTACTGAGCAGGGAATGAGAACCAGGTTCACTGTGTGCTCTCTGTAAAGATTTTGTTCCCAGTTCGAGTTTTTCTCCCTTTAGCAAATTGGGTGACGACCGAAAGCATCTCATATTATTTGGAGCTAGAAGCTCAGTACATGCAAGTGGAAAAGAGAGTAGTAAAGTCCTACACATAAAACATTTTTAGTGTTTTTGAAGTGGAAAATATGTACTTAAAGGTTTTGACCTACTTCAAACTGAATGACAGGCGAAAGTCCATTTGCCTGTTAACTGCTCCAGTGCTGCCCGAGAAACTGATGGCCATGCTCATCACCCTAACATCTTAGGGCGTCACAAACAAACAAGATGAACAAGACAATTTGGAGGCACTTTTGTGAGGTTAACAATTAGTGTCGAGAAAAGACAATCTACCGGTGAAGTAAACTGACCTCCTTTAAAATACACCCAGACCCCACAGAACACGGGATTTCATCCATTCAGTGTTGGTCCAGGAAACTCGAGCCGTGGTTGGAGATCGAAGAACCGTGAAGTCCTTATCATTGGCACACATGTGAGGTCTGATTTGGTGTAGCTTGAAAAGGCATTAGAAATAAAAACCGGACAACTTTATTAACAAGATAATTAAACACAAATAAGATTTTCTGTAAGTCGCAGCTTTTATGAAATACATACAAATACCACACCTAACAGTAGTGATCCATTCTTGAAAATCAGACTTCCTACATGAAAAAACTAGCTGGGATCCTGTTTTGCATTACTTAGAGTGGGAATTCTATAATGATTTACATACCCACCTAAAACCCCAGTAATTTCCTGAAGTGTGTCAAAATCACACTAAAGACCCTCATATAAGTAACAAACCATCATGTTTATATAAACTATTTAAGATACTGTTGCCTGGTCACTAAAAGTAATTATGGTTATTGCAAATTGAGCATTTTATTTACAGTAACCCAGCCTGACGCAGCCTACAAGACATAGACACAGACCAGACGCACACAGAGACGCACACACAGACATACCCAGAAACACACACACACACCCAGAAACACACACACACATGGGACCCTGAGTGTGGGAAACCCCATGTCCCTCCATTTATGGCTTTTTCTAAGGCCTCACCTCTGTGCTTGGGGAACTGAGGGCCCGGCCCTCTTGTTGGCACATCGAAACACTTCATTTCTAGAATTGTCATGAAACTTTACCGTAGTTGGTACACTTGTAAGTAAAAGTGAAAATCCTCTCTCTCTCTCAAATAATTAATTAAAAAAAAGTGAAAATCAAATGATTGCTTAAAAGCAAAGTCTCTCCAGATAAAAAAATCAGCACAGAAAGGATGGGAAGAAATGAAAACCAGGAGATGAGTCCGTGCCCCTCATGTGTGCTGTTTTTCTAAACCTCATACTAACATCGGGTAAGCTGTGCCATCTTTCTAGCAGTCTGGGATATTTTTGTTCAACGTCAAGGGTATTTCTGGCAGGTAATTAAAAAAATACAAATTTTAAAACCCAGTATTTACTTACATGAAGGTCAAATGCATTTAGTATGCGAAAAAGCCCACCCACATATATTTCTATGTAAATGTCAGAGCTATAATTGCTTACAATTATTTATTATTCAAAAATCAGCTGCTACATGTATGAACATCCACTACGGAGAGCACAATTTGAGGTTTTATAGAGTTGCCGTAGGAAACCTGTCCGGTTCTTTCTACACAAACAGTATTTGTGGTTGTCAAAGAGGCCTAACAGAGACTGGGAGAATTGTGTTTTATATAACTTAAAAACTCATTTTCCTTAAAAAAAAAGGAAATAAGACATTTTTCTTTCAAATTAGTCCATAATTTGATCACCCCCACTACACCACAATTAATCAGCTTTGTTATCCTGAACTCACTTTCACTGATAACAGTTTTTAGATTTCACAGGAAAAGTGTCACTTAACAGGTTAATCATGTGAAATGCTAACGTTTTAGGCTAACTCTGCATTAACCCGGAATTTAATGGATGTATCTGAGTCATTCATTCAGTCCACACGTCTCTTTCAATGCTGAGTTAGGCTCTGTGTAAGTTCTGGGGTTGGAGCCGAGAACAAGAAGAATATAGAGGAACGTGATCCCTACACTCAAGCGGCTTACATTCTAGTGAAAGGATATCTAGCAACAAAAAGCACATAGTAAATAAAGAAGGTAATTTCAGCTAGTAATAAACGCTCTGAAGACCATATTTTAGGGTGATCTAATAAACAATGACTGGAGCACACCTCCGATTGGATGGTTGGGGAAGGCGCCTCTAAGCTACGAGGTGAATGAATGGCCAGGGAAGTAGGATGTGATTGGAGCTTTTACCCATAAGTGATGGGACCTGGGGCAGTTTTTCCAGAGGCCCCCATGGCTTCCGGGCGCCCACGCCTGACTGCAGGTGACCCAGATGAGGCAGCAGTGCAGGTGGGAGACGTGGATGGATACAGGGCGTGTTTCTGGGTCAGCCTGAAGGAGTGTGTGGATGTGCGGGTAAGGAGAGAAAAGAAAGGGTAACGGTGAAGCCTGTGGTCTACGGCCAGATTGGCGTTTGGTGCCTTGTCACCTGCAGAGATGTATGGTCAGTGGGCAGAGTAGGGCCAGCCGTGGACAGCACAGCGAAGGAGAAAAAATAAACTGAGAGGAGAACTTGTGAAGAGATGGTTTGGGAAGTTCTCAGCCTCTCTAGTTTGCACGGGATGCCAGGATTAGGAATTCACTGTTAGGCAAGCCCTTCTCAGGGATCCAGAGGTCAGAGTATTTAGTAACACAGAGGGGTCTCTGCACAGAGTCTTGCTGTGTGGCTTCCTGCCCCATTTAGGATGCACTTGGCCCTTTGGGGACGGGTGATATGCACACAGCAGAGATGTCCACGGGCTGGGAAGCTCTGGTCAGTGCGTCCAGGCTGCGAGAGGGGTGGCCACAGAGCTCAGCTCTTCACAGCCAGGGTAATGAGAGGAAAGGGAGCTGATCCAGACAGGAGGCCACTGAGGGACAGGATGAGTTCCAGTGTCTATGTCCCGGCACCTGTTGAGACCCGTGGCCCTGACCACCTGCTGGTAGCTGGCCACCGGCCGCTCCCTCTGTGCCTCTGGTTTGGGCCAAACATCTGGCTTCAGAACCACTTCCATCTCGCCGCCTGGTGGAAAACAGAAAGTATCTTATCTGTCATTCCAGCTTCCAGCCCGTCTGCCTGGCACGGTCCCCGTGTACACGGGGCTTTCTGGTCGTGAAGGTGCCACAATGTGGAAGCGTATGGCACTGCCTTAGTTTCCCACTGTGACCAATCACAGACTTAGTGGCTTCCACAGTTCCGTGGGCCAGAAGCTCCACCTGGGCCTCACTGAGCTAAAGCCCAGGTGTCACAGGGCCGGCCCCTTCTCGAGGGCCAGGCTGGGACTGTCCTCCCTTTTGCGTTCTCTGGCTGGTGGCCTGTCCTCCCTCAGAGCTGGAGGGCTTCCTCCATGACATCACTCGGACACCCCCTCCACCTCCTCATCCTCTTTTAAGGACCCGGGATCCCACTGGGCCACCGGGGGACCCAGGATCATCTCCCTGTCTCAGGGTCAGCTGACTATGGACCTCATGCCTCCCGCCACCTGCCTGCCCCCGAGCCCTGACCCTGGAGCCCAGCACGTTCACAGGGTGTGGGAGTCGGGAGTGGTGTCTCTGGTCACTCTCCGCCACGAGCACCAAACCACTGCCCGGGGTCTCCCTACCTCACTCCTGTAGAGGTGCCTCAGAACAGTTGTGCATATGGGGTGTTTGCTGAGGCTTTGGGAGGTGGTGGGACCTGGGAGGGCTTCTTCTCCTCTATGGGGCTGTACCCCCATTACTGTGTGATGTCCACCTGCCCCGTTTGTAGCGAGGTCTGCCCTCGGTTCGGCTCCTGCCCCGTTTGCAGCGAGGTCCGCCCTCGGTCCGGCTCCTGCCCCGTTTGCAGCGAGGTCCGCCCTCGGTCCGGCTCCTGCCCTGTTTGTAGCAAGGTCCGCCCTCGGTCTGGCTGCCTCCACCTCCACTCCCGCTGGTGGCCAGGGCTCTGCGTGAGCCTGTCCTCGCTCAGACCTCACACCTGCGCTTGGCTCTTTGTTCCACCTTTGCCTCCTTTGCCTGCACCCCGCCCCCACCGTTCCACTTCCCTGACCTCAGACCCCTTTCAGGTAGACCTCTTGTGCCCCCGGCCGCTGTGTACGCCTGCTCTCTGCTTCTCAGATTCTTGTTGGACTTGCAGTAAGTCCTGGCTGTTCCACGTCTGTGTGTTAGCTTGTCTCCCACCCTGGGGGCTCAGAGGGGCCATGCTGAGGACATCTCCAGGCCCGATCCTCTCTAGGGGTCACTCATCAGGTCCCCACAATGGCTCTGAGGCGCGTCAGAGCACCAGGCTCAGGGAGATGGGTGAGAGACTCAAGCCCGTGGCTGATGTGCGCCAAGGAGTCAGGACCTCACCCTCTGGCAACGAGGCCTGTGTCCTTGCTCGGTCACCGAGGCCGTCCACGTGCGTTTCTCTTGCCTGAAGCAGATGCCCAGGCGGCTAATCAACGTGAACAAACGTGGGACAGGCTCATGGTTTTCTCTGGCTTTTCAGGAGCTCAAAGCTGAGTGTGGATAAGGAAAGGAGGTATAGTCTGGAGGATGACAGCGCTCTGGCCGAGGCTGTTCAGCGCTACCTGCCCTACCTGGAGGCCCTGTCGTGGGCTGCTTCGAACCCGCGCCCCAGGACAAGGCACGACAGACCATCTGCTCAGGTGACCCTTGCAGCTCTCTCTGTGGGCTGGGCATGTCTTACTGCTGCATGCAGTTTCCTCTGTGTGCACACACAGGCTGACCTCGCAAGTCCTGGGCCTCTCCTGGTTTCTCTCCTGCATCCCACGCAGGTCCGGCTGCATGCAGAGAAGGGCCCTGGCTCACCAGTCGCACACACACGCTCACCAGTCCAGCACCATCAGAGCCAGGGGCCGTCACGCATCCCAAGAACGGGGTCTGGGCAATTGTTGGAGTGCAGGGTGATTGTGGGCATGCTGGGTATTTGGCAGCCCTGCACACACTTCTTTTTTAGTTATGTCCACTGGGATTTGACGTATGTCCCTTTCCACGACTGATGTGTGGCTTACAAGCGTCCTCTTCCTCTGAGGCCCTGCTGGGGCTTCATCAGAAGATGGTTGTGGCTCCAGGAAATATGGGGGAAGCAACGTGGGTCCCTTCTTTGGTTATTTTCCTGTCGAGAAGCCACTGAAATCACGGAAGCCCACTGTGGGCTGGGATCCCGGGAGCGCCCCCACACATTTCTTTAGAGGGCTCACTGCTGATGAGGCCGCAGAGTTGCCTTCGCATGGGAGTGGACTTTGAGTCGGTACAGAGCCAGGTGCATGTTTTCCTGGGTGCTGCGACCCTGCAAGTTAGGTGTGGGCTGGGAGCTCCCCCACAATCACGTTTCCACCCTGCATCATGCAAGTGTGTTTGCCCAGCCCTTGGCATCTGCCCTGATGGTGGAGGTCTTCTTCAGTCCTCACAGGTGAGCCCCTAGCGGGAGAGAGTAACATCATGCCGGGAGGGCCCCCACGCTGCGCTTGGCCCAAGCCCACTCTGGCCTGGACCGCTGGCCAGCTTCTCAGTGCAGACCTTAACCCTGGAGGAGCTCACTGAACACTTTTTTTTAAATGTTAAGATTTTTTACTCATTCGCTGATACTGTTTAAGCACTTTCTATGAGCCGGACACTCAGCTGGATGCTGTGGGGTGAAAGATGGGATTGTCACGGTGTCACGGACCTGTTCCTGGGGGAATTGGCAGTGGGCAGACGTGGTAGGTGAGGTGCTGGATTCAGAACCAGTCCCACCAGTGCTGTGTGTCCTTGAGGAAGCTGCTCAGCATCTCTGTCCCGGGGTCCCTGGCTGTGAAGTTGGGTCATTGTGAGGATTAAGCAAGACAGTGCACATCGAGCTTTCAGGGAAGGCCTCAATTAATAGTAGTTATTACTTCTCATCATAAATAGTCTTCACACACAGTGAAAGTAGGTCAGGAGTCTGGAAACCTCTGCTGCTTGTTGGTGGAGTCCCGGTCTCCGGAGGAGAACCGAGGACACAGCTGTGCTCTGACCGGGTTCCGTCTGGGCTCCAGCACCGCACGGCCCCACGGCCCCAGTCTCACCTGTGTACTCCTTCCACCACACCCTGGAAAACCAGCATCGCCCCCAGTCCTGAAGATGGGTAATTCAAGTACATGTAAGCCTAAAAGCATCGCTTCGTCTGCCTCCTTTGTCCTCTGATGTGTCTTTATCAAAAGGGACACGAGGCTTCCTGCTCAGCCTTGGCTTCTGCTGTGGGTTTCTGGGCTTCCGTAATGGAGACATTGCCTCTGGGCCCTGCGTGTTGGACCCAGAGCAGGTTGTGGAGGAGGGAAGGGAAGAGAGTCGTTAAAATTTCCCAAGACTCGGAAGACTCAGAAGATGCTGAATGAAGGAACCAGCTGGAATTTCTCTGTGAAGCGGTTCACCATGTTCCCCTAAGTCCGGTGACTTCTCAGCTGGCTGCCAAAACAGAGAAGGAGGGCGGGCAGGCTCCAGGGCAGCGGCCCGCCTCTGTCCCTCAGGGCGCCGGCAAAGCCTCTTCAGCTGTCCCCCCTGGTGCAGTGGGAGCCTCGGCGTTCGCTCTGAATCCGGCACCATGTCTCCCCTTCAGTGTGGTCATCACTCCCTTAGCCCTGCACTAAAATGAGAGAGTCAAGTTGAGAACAGAATTTGCTCCCTGGACGTGGAGGGGCACGGAAGCACCTGGATTCGCAGCCATAGTGCTGTGCTCTCAGCACCCTGCTGTCAGTAACCCGAGAGCATGACGTCAGGCTCAGAAATCACCGGCAGTCAACCGTGGAGCCTTGTGAAGTGGGACTTCCGAGACTCCCGCGGCCCGTGCTGGGAGTGCTGAGAGGGGTCGTGGCTGTGCGGTGGGAGGGGGCTGATAGCAGCTTCTGGGGGCTCTCGGGGGGTCCCAGGGCACGACCTCCCAGGTGGTGAATAACTCTGCCACACCCGCCCCCGTGGATCCCGTCAGGCCTGAGGTGGTGGTGGGGTGTGTGGGCGTGAGGCTTCCTTACACTGGCCAGTAGGATTTGCTGCAGTGTCCTTCCCGCCCTGCTCCCGTACCCTGTGATTCTACCACTGAGCGTCTGGACACACGCCCTGGGATTGCTCTCAAGGCAGCCTTCCCTTTCTGGAAGAAAGCGTGACTGCTGTCTTTGCATGGACCTGAATTCCTTCGAGAGCCTATGGCTGAGATGTGGGGCCATCGCCTCTGACTCTGCCCTGGGGCCGCTGGAGGCAGAGGGAGAGGTGGTATCCATCCTGCCTGCACCCCGTTCCAGAAGAGCCAGGTGGGAGAGAGGGGCTGTCACTGGCCTCACCACACATTGCATCATTTGACCCCTGCCAGGCTTGGCTTCCATGGTCCTTAAACACCCGCCCAGTGGGAGGGCCATCCTCCGTAGCTTGTCTGGGCACTGTCCCTCACAGATGTCCCAGTCTGAATCAGGGGTTCTTCGGTCATGCTACCACATGGCCATTTTACCACCACAGTCACAAGGATTATTCAGGAAATGAGCACTTAGAGAAGAAAAGAAAATGAGCACTTGGTGGCACTTTTGGCTAGGCTTTTTTCTTCTGTGTTGGGATAGATGCTTCTCACTATTAAAAAATGCATTAAAACCTAGAACTTGTTATTTTCTCTGTCCAGTGTCCTCTCTCTAATGAACAAAGCCTGGATAAAGCAAAAGAAGGCCACAATCAGATGTTACTGCAGCCACTGTGCACACATTTTTGCCACAGAAGTACAGCCAGCCACGGCGTTGAGCAGTGTTTTCTGATCTCCACCCCTCTCAAGTGATGAAAATCTGAGTTGGAAATTTAAGCTTTATACACCCACGACCTTCCAAGGTGCAACCAATTTCCAATGAATTATTTTATAAATAATCTTTTTCTGTGTACCTTCAAAAATCTCCTCTAGCATAGGCTAGAGAAACATTGTGAATTTATTACCTTTAGAGGCTTGACTACAAATTACTTCCTGACAGAAGCCAGGGGGAGTCAAACAGCCTTGCAGCTCTGATGCAAGCTTGAGCTCTTCTCAGTCAGTGTCATCGTTCCCCGTGTGTTGTCTGTCAGGGGTGGAGGCAGCTCCTGTTTCTCCTGACCACAGCAGCATTGGTTAAATGTCCTCGTCGTCACTATGGAGAACACAGGAAATTCTCAACTTACACTATGCTGTTGAGATTAAAACCGAAATTCATCACCTGGAAATGCTGTGAATTAACTGATTTATTTTGGAAACGTTGTCTCAGCATTTTTCATGTTCAACTAGGTACCGCGGTTAGAAAGGTAAACCCAGGGGGCACCTGGGTGGCTCAGTCGTTAAGCGTCTGCCTTCGGCTCAGGTCATGATCCCAGAGTCCTGGGATCGAGTCCCACATCAGGCTCCCTGCTCGGCGGGAAGCCTGCTTCTCCCTCTCCCACTCCCCCTGCTTATGTTCCCTCTCTTTGTCAAAAAACAAATAAAATCTTTAAAAAAAAAAAAGAGGTAAACCCGAGTCCTGCTGTTGGGACCTCACAAGTCCTCCCAGGTAAGGAAGACACACAGATGCAGTTAAGGATGGAGGAGCACTGCACTGCAGGGAATGCTCAAAATAAAGGAGGCCCGTGAACCAGACAGCGAGTGAGTCAGCGAGGCTTTCTCGGGTCAGGTACTGGAGGAGCATCTAGAAGTCACCAGGTGGCCTCAACATGCAGAGTGTCAGGAGACCACCCCAGTCCCACCTAAACGGCATGAACAGGCCAGGTGAGCTACCAGTCCTAGCTTTTAGAAAACCCTTTGGATTGCTGATGATACAAAGAAACTCAAATGGATTGAATTCCAGAAAGTAATGAGGTCATTCTAGGGGAGAAGAGGCCCCACTCCTTTCATACAGGCTGCAACAGCAGGAGGGGAACCAGCTGTAGGAGGGATGCAAGAGCATGGCCCCAACTTTAAGGAGCCATGGACCGTGCATGGGGACTGGCATGAGGGGCAGGAGCCCCAGCAGCAGCTGCATGGAGTACTGAGTGTATGAGAAGACAGTACACTGCAGGGGGAGACTGGGAGCACCAGACCCTTCTGAGCACCCCTTAGCAGCCCTCTAGAGGCTTGGGAAAAGGCAGAGTGGTGGAAGAAGAGCTACCTTATGGGGAGCAGAGAGGTGGGGCCCACAAAATGGAATTGGCTGCAAATCAGAGACAGCTCCCATGCTCAGAAGAGTGGTAGCCATCTGCAAAGCATAAAGCCAGAGTCACACTAGGGCTTAGATCCCAGTGCTGCAGTAGAAAAGGCCTGAGCCCACCCTCGACATAACTACAGCCAGGAGTTACTGAATCTGACTCTGCAACAAAACCAACGCCCGTTTCAAGTACAGCTCACATGAATTCAGCCCCACAATAGCAGACTGACAGGAGAAGGACTTGCCATTTCCCAGGGATAAATATTACTCCTTCATTCTCTATTATTCTTCAGACAAAACCCAGCTTACAGTCAAGAACTGGGAGACACATGAAGGGACAATAAGATGGGACTCATGGTCAAGAGAGGAAAGAGGCAATAGAAGAATAAAGAATACCCAGATGTGACTCAGGTGTTGTAATGATTAGAAAAGGATGTCTTAATAATGAAATATATTAAAGGATTAGGTGGGAAAGGTGAAAAAACATAAATGAACAAATGGAAAACTGC